AACAATTGAGCAATGGACAGTTTTGTTCGCCGTTTAAAACTACATCGAATGGTATACATGAGTCTCCTTCAAACTTGTTGTGTCCTGAGAAAATTACGAAAAACGCCTCGGAATGGGCTCGCGGAGTTATTATTCAAAGTTGATCGATTTTCTGACAGATATGATGTCCGAGGCGGATCCGACGGTGTAGAACCCCATAAAACTGTATGCTCTTTCATCCTAGATATCGTTCGAGAAGATCTGGAATGGGGCCGATCCTCGTTCTTATTGCACCCCGTTCTTTGTCATGAACCGTTTTGATACTAAAGTTACATTGACATGACTTCACATTCTCTCTCTTTTTTTTGTTTCTTCAAGAGAAAGTGAAATCCTATGTCTGCTTGTTTTACTGACTTATGTTTTTTCAAAAAATTGACTGATAACCAACTCGTCATCAACGTCAAATTCGCCCAGGCACAGTGGGCATCCACGTGTAGATTTGGTTGAAGGGTAAAAGTTTTTCTAATCTTTTTAGATGTATTATATATGTGAAATGTCATCTTTCCTTACTGATAAAAGTAATTTTATAATATGCTTTGGAGCGGCGAAAACATAGAAGTTAGAAATACAGCTAAGAACTCATTAGTATTGTAAAAAGCTGATTAAGTAAAGACAGAAAAAACAGTGTACAAAATACTTTTAAATGAAGTCGGCTACCTAACAGATAATAACAAGAGATGGTTGGGCTCTGTTACTTCTGTATATTAGATGGAATGCAAAAATTTTCTCCTTCTTCCATGCGATCCGTGCATCCAACTGGATTTGGTCGATAAAATGCACATCGTATGACATAATTGGTGAAAGGAACTACTGCATCTGACATAGGAGTAGCACTTCATTTCACCCTCGCAGCGAAAAAAATGCATTTTCTAACAGATTTGCCCTAAATTGTAAAAAGCCTGCTGACTACATTCCCTAACATAGCACCCTGAAGTTGGTCTCAAATGAAAGGGCGCATCGAGTTCTATATATTTCCATGAAGAAACGTTATCCTAGGCCTCGGGATCTTGAGACAGCGATTTCTGAAAAAGTGGGTTTTCTAGGATACCTAGTGACCTTAAAATTTCTTTCCGAAGTTTTCCAACCATATCATTGGATAGCTCTTTCAATTCTCCAACTAGAAATGAGTTACCCACCATTTTGTAGAGTTTTGAAAGAGAAGAACCTAGGTTGCGGTTTACATTATATATCGAAAGAAGGTTGGACGATCGACTTACAGTCTGGTTAACATTACGAATATAAACCCATTCGCTTTAATGCCGACGTTTCGACCTGTATCGTATTTTCTATAGCACTTTGGCACAACATCCTAGAAATATATATCGAAAGAAAGCTCTTTCAAAACTCTACAAAATGGTGGGTAACTCATTTCTAGTTGGAAATGCGAATACTCGCTTTTTTTGGGATATTACTAAGGTTAAGTAAGACAGAAAAAACAGTGTACAAAATACTTTTAAATGAAGTCGGCTACCTAGTAGATAATAACAAGAGATGGTTGGACTGTGTTTCTTCCGTATATTAGATGAAATGCAAAACTTTTCTCTTTCTTCGATGCGATCCGTTTGGAATTCTAATACTTTATACGATTCGTACATCCAACTGGATTTGGCCGATAAAATGCACATTGTATGACCTAATTGATGAAAGGAACTACTGAATCTGACATAGGGGTGGCACTTTCTCGTTTCTTTCTCAAAAAAAGAAAAATAAAACTGACTTTTCTTTCTTCTGGAAAAGGAAAGCTTTTACTTTCCTAGTGTTCTTTCCAAAAAGGAGAAAAGGAAAGTTTCTGGAAAACCAGTTTTTTAAAAGCTCTAATAAATAATGAGAGCCTTTCTCGATGCGGCCCAGTTGTAGCTGGCAAATTTCTGATTTGATTGAGACATCGTCCAGCTCTACACGATCTTTGCTTGCAAAGTTATAGAATTTACAAGAAAAGCCGTAATTGTTCATTGTCAGCTCAAAGCTACAGAAATTCGAAGAAATAAATGTAGGGCTTTTATTGTAAATTCTAACCAAAGACATTTTCTCTCAAATTACTACCGAAATTCATGAACTGAACATCTTGAACAAGCGTGATACATTTTCTAACTAATGAAAGCAGGGATATTTTTTCAAATATTAATGTTTATAGTCGAAATTCACACTTATGTTTCAAAAAGAAATAGAATCTGATAGAAATTTGTTACCATTAATCAAAGTTCAGATGACTTTTCACAGTTGTCGTACATAGGTTTACAAGAAATTTAGATGTTCAGCAAGGTGCATACTTTGTCGTGACTGTAGACATTCGCAGAACGAACCAAGTTGAGCTTCAGGATCCGTCTAGATGGATGAATACGTAATTGAACTCGAGGGATGCCACGATGGTTGCTGAACTCAAAGCATATGGCATGGTTCGGTACCAATGTAACACCCCAGTTGACTAACTATGATGAACTCCTACATAAGCACCTAGCATGGCTAATAACACTAATAATTTAAAGGTACAGGTTTACGCTTCGAATAGAAACATAAATAAAAATTATAATAATAATAACAAATTTAATTATGTACCTAATTAATTTAATTAATTAAATGATTTTGTAGATAATATACATACTAGTGATAATGATAATGTAATGTTAATGATGTAGATAAATTAAATAACAATTGTTAAGCTTAACCATCAAGTAAATTAGTCATCATATGGAAAACAATATAGTATCTGAATTTATTTTAGTGCTAGATGGAACAGACAACAGTACAATTAATAGTCAAATAAAATCATTTTTACATAGGTATATAAGAAAAAAAGAAATATAATTTATATATTTAGCTGCCTCCCACAGCTTTACCTTTCCTATCTTGGATGCTTCAAATGATTGATTGTACAGATAAGTGTATCATTTAAAAAAGAAACAAAATTTACATGTATGTTACATACCCATGGCCAACGCATCAGCTTCGGATGAACAACTTCCATTCAGCTGGGATAGAATATGCGAAATTATAGAATCAGGTGAATTAGGTCGACTTATTCGATACCCAGATGATAGTGTTCGTTATTCAACATGGTGTGACAATATCATCACTCTATATGGTAGTACGGAAAAATATTTTTTAGAACAACGTCTCGGCTGGCATTTACCAATTGAGCCACTAAGTCCTATTCTATTCAAAAATTCTGATGATTATCAAATATTGTTAAATGATTTTCCCTACGCTTTTGACAAAAACATAACCCATTTTGTTCTTTGGACAAAAGTCCCATTTGGTCAGGATAAAAATGGTTATTTGGATGAGTCAACCACCAAATTGATTCAAGAATTTATTAACAAAAAATTTGTGACTCATTTTGGTCAAGAAAATGTTCGATGGTTTAAAAATTATAATTCAGCTTCGAGTATACCAACAATTTCACATTTTCATGTTCTGATTTACGATCGAAATCGACAATATTCATCATTGAAAGATGATATTTTAGAAAAAATTAATACTTAGACGAACTTGAAACCGAACTGATAGAGAAAATGAAACTTGTGAAACTTACAGTGAATATCCGAATATTTAATTTTGTTTCTTTTCGAACTTGTGAAATCAAGGTTTTCATCTTTTTAGTTGTTCGATGTATCTTCGCCTTAAAAAATGTTGAAACTCTATTATCATATTACTAAGTCTGTCTTTCGGATGAAAGAAAAGTTCATTTTTTTCTCAACTGATCAAAGAGTGGTTTTGAATAATTGATTACAACTCGGATAAGTAGATTTTCGAATTAAAAAACCAAAATATTTTCGTTTAGTTAGTTATTTTGGAAAATGGCGTGTACATTCTGCAGGAGTATTTGCCCCAGGAGAAAATTCTTGAATGTAGATCTTGATAAATCTTTAACGTTTTCTCAAGTTTTCTCTCAGATCTCTCAAGAACTTGAGCAGATTTATCGAAATCTTTCGAAATTCTGAGTGAAAAGCAGTGCTGCAGATTTTTCACAAGTTTTGTATCAGAATCTGTGTTAATAAATCTTGAGCAGATCTTATCAAGATATTTCAAAAATTCTGAAATGATTAATTTAATATGCAGTAATATATTTAACATCCAATAATATGCATAAACAACCACAAACAAGGTAACGTTTGTCTCCACTCGTTGTGCCTTGACTGTAGGAACTTATATCTTCGAATGACCTTTGAATCGAAGATAACGCTCACGTCTCCGTTTGGTCGGCGTTCGTTAGGGAGCTATCGAAAATACGTTGTGAATTTTTCTCTGATTCGATGTGTGCGTAATCTAATGTAAATCTAAAAGGTTTCCTCCAGATCCTCCAAAGATCCCCAAAGAACTAAAAATATTTCTGAATGGAAGAAAATGCTCACGCCCCGTCCGATCGCCGTTCGCACCCAGGATAGCTGAGAAATGTTGTGAACTTTTCTGATTCCATGGAGAAAGTGCACAATGTAATATAAAGTTAAAAGGTTTTCTGGGCACTGTAAGCGATGGTCGCACTAAATTGGAGCTAATATTAAGCAGATTGTTGCTGGAGGCTGTTTCCCCTTTTATTAAAAAACTTAAAAAAGAGTTGAAAATGGACAAACACAAAACGAATAACAAGTGACGATGTGTATCATACGCGATGGCGTCTAGAAGTGTTACTAAAAATGAGAAACACACACTATTTATATATCTAGGGATAAAACAGAGACCAAAGGAAAAGAACCATAGGTGTATATGAACGAGGGAGAAAACGACTGAATGTAGAAAACAAGGGACTGGACGAAGAAAGAAAATAATTCTTCAATAACACATGTAAGATCTAGAAGTCACGCGGCTAAATATGTGACGAGATGATGCAATAATATACGCTTAGATTATGATTGCACGTTATGTGCAAGGTCCACGCCTGTAACAGTTCTCCCCGAGAGAAAAAAATGTCTTTTATCCAAATTTTCAACAGATTGTTCTTCACTGTTCTTTCCTCTCTTAATTCACCGGGATTTGTGATGATACTTGTACTGTTCACGATGACTACCAGTCACTGTTCTTGTTCCTTCACCGGGATTTGTTGATGGATGGAAATGATCAGATCTGAATGATCGATCTGTTGCTCTTGACCTTGGACGAGGATCAAATGCTTCTGATTGAGCTGAATGATCTGGTCTAATAGACCGATCTGTTGATGCTGATGTTCGACGATGAGATGAATGACCCGGTCCAGTAGATCGATCTTTTTTTGATCGATTTATCGTGCATGAGACTGTTGTTGTTTTTCTATAAGAATACTGGAAAAAATTGAGGTATATGTTCACAATACACATTGCGAAAACAAAACGAAAAAACAACAACAACAGTGGCGACTTCACTCTCACCCTCATAATGAAAGTTTTTGATTGTGATCAAATAGAATTTACTTTTTAGACTATAGAAACGCCTTTTTACTAATTAGGCATGCACCGGTTTCGGTTGGATCATAACCAAAACCGCTTATTATGGGGAATTTGATCTTGTGGCAAAATCGTTTTATAAAAAAATTAATTTGTAGAAAAAAAACCTGTGTATATTATCGGTATAGCGAAATCACGAATAGTGAACTAGTACTATATTGAAATAGCGGTATCTAGACTATTCGTATTTAGAAATTGCTATTTAGACTATTTAGATCATTTACACTAGTTTGACTATTTAGTCCAGTTTTGGACGAATTTGACCAATTTGAGGATTCTGGTGATCCAGATGCACATAGTATGCAGACGCTCCATTAATTTTAATAAGTACTAGAGATTTTTGATTATTTTCATCAAAAATTAAAACGTCGTAACTCGACCAAACTCCATCCAACCTACGTCAGAATATCACGATATAGTATTTTTAATCTGCATTATACCGTAAAGGTCAATAAATGTTTTGACAATCAACAAAAAGTACTCCGGTTTTTCAAAAGGATTTCCCCGAAATCTTTAGAACAGAGAGAATATTTTTTATCGATCTTAACTACACAATCAGAGGGAGCGGATAAAACAGAGTATATCTTGATATTCTGACGTAGCTGGAATGAGTTTTGACCGGGTTAAGAATTTTTTAATTTTGACAAAAATACCAAAAATGAGTTGTTTCACCTAGTACATATTTTCAATCGGTTCTTGCGTTTTGGTCTGAAAGCTACTATTCCCATGCGATTCAGTGTGGTCGAGGGTGAGAGTCGACAAACTATGCATTCATGCATTTTTTAAAGTCTCAGACCGAAGAATAGAGGACACTCAGTGCTTCGAGAAAAACGTCTGACGTCCCGAAAGTCAAGTAAAATGAAACTTTGTAGAGGCTACTTTAGACTGTCTGTCTTTGCAGCAAAATGCACAGACTGCTATGTAAAACTTTTGACTTAGAAACTGGTTTTCCAGCGGGCCTCTGAAAATCAATGTTAAACCTTCCTATTGTTAGGCTTCATAAATTTTCTCAAAAATGCCTTTGCTTCTGAAGTATAGGCTAAACTGCCCTCTTTCGATTACTGAAAATCGCAGATCTCTATCTCTTATTGTTCTCGAGTTATTCAAAAAATAGCCACACCCACGGACAATAGATAGACCCTTGACTTCAAACTCAGATTCATACCTACGCATTCATATGTATTCGTACTTATCCGGTCATTCTTTGATTATTAAAATAAATGGGCTTTTATTATGCACTTGCAGATTTCCGCAATTTGTATAAAAACCCTAAATATTACAAAATAGAAGCCATTGATTATGCATCAAGAATGTAAAGAAACAAGTTCATATGGCTTTTTCAGGCATTTACTTGTTGTTTTGTAGTAGAAGAAATTATCTATAATGTCCCCTACAGAATAAAATCTAGTGAAAGTATGAGCTAAACTGTCCTCTTTCGCTTACTGAAAACTGCAAATCTCTCTTTCTGTTCTCGAGTTATTCAAAAAATAGTCACACCCAAGGACTTACGAGTATATCGAGAAGGTAAAGAAACTGAGAGTTCCTTCTAATATACATTTTACCGAATTGCCCTAGGCGTCGATTCTTATATAAGCATCAGTTAAGAATCTTATAAAAAACTTATAAGTACCCAATAAGATTCACGTAAGAATCTTACCTGATTCTTATCAAATTCTTATATAAGATTACGCAGGAAAGTGAATGGAGTTTGNGGGTCTTATAAGAATCTGATAAGAATGTCATAAGAATTTCATAAGAAAGTGATAAGAGCTCTTATGAACTTCTTATCACTTTCTTATGACAGGCCTGTTTTGTAAAGCGTTCTGAAAAATGCTCTAGAAGTTAAACTACATTAGTAGTGCATCTGAATTGTGCAAAAAAAATTTGAAAAAAATCATTCGATCCGTCTAGGATCCGAACCTAGGGCCTACGGCATGCCATGCTGTGCTCTTATCCACTGAGATATTACGGACTGAGATAATAAAGATCATCTCACTATTACATTCTGATTAACCAGTTTTAGATTTTTGAATTCCTTTTCTGAGTATATCGA